AGAGTTACGAACAACCTTTATTCCCTAGGGGTTCGTAACTCTGAGGTTCTACTGTACTGGGCAGAGAACTGCTGGAAAGATTTCTGATGGAGTGGTTCCTTGCATGAGCTGACCAATAATTGACAAATTAATTTATCATGACACAAATACTGAGAAATATTAACAGGGAGTGAATTCCCACATCCATAGTGCCTATGACTGCTGCAAAATTGGCCCAGTACAATATTAATGATTCGTTGGGCCATATTTTGAAACCCTTACTCACGTTAAATAGTTCCTTGTTCTACAAAAAAATCCCACTGATGTCAATGGGACCACTCATGGAATAAGGTGTTACTTACTGTGAGTAAGGGGATGAGACTCTAGCTTTATATATTTACTTACATATTTTTCTAGGGCTTGATCTGGGGGTGCGCTGAGAACCTGCTCCAGGAGCTCAGCACCTCACAGGATGAAGCCATTGGTGTGTATATTTCAGTCTAAAGAAACTCTTATTGCATCCTCTGGGGTATATCTGATTGGACCATTAATCACCATAAATGGTTAATCCAATCAGTACAATTGACTCCATAAAATTCAATAGTAAATCTTACAAATACTATTAAAACCATAGACATTGTAACCTCTCCTAGTAGTTTGGCCATTGATATATTTTACCCTTAGTCTATGATCCAAAGGAACATGAAATATCCATTTCTAAAATTATCTTTGGAGTGAATTAAATTAGGACAAAGAGGCTCACAGTCCTTATTACACTCACATCTTGATGAATAGAAGTAACTTCTAAAGACATGTACAACAGAGGCATTAAATAATTAGCTGCATTTATACACAGAAAATAACTCTCACTGATAGAAATATACCTATCTCATAGAACTGGAAGGGACCTTGAAAGGTCATCTAGTCCAGTCCCCTGCCTTCACTAGCAGGACCAAGTACTGTCTCTGACCAAAAAAAATAAAATAAATAAAAATAAAAAATAAAGTCACCCCCGCCCCACAGATTCCTAAATGGCCCCCTCAAGGATTGAACTCACAAGCTGATCAGGACAATAATAAATAAAATGAGAATCAGGTGAACATTGGAATAAAAGGAGTGTTTAAAGAATTTTTAAAATAAAACCTGATCGCACCTGGCTTAAACAAGCACAGTTAAAAGATCTGGGGTGCTTAGAGAAGACATTGTCTGTCTGTTCATAGCCTGGGTCAAGTGTTAAATGGTTACAGAGGGTCCTGTGGCACCTTTAAGACTAACAGAAGTATTGGGAGCATAAGCTTTCGTGGGTAAGAACCTCACTTCTTCAGATGCAAGGCTACCCCTCTGATACTGTTAAATGGTTGTGACTATTAGACAAAGGACAATGGCACATGAACATTTTTGCAGTTCTCTTACTATAAATTCAGAGGGTGAAATTCTGGCCTCATTGAAGTTCATGGGAGTTTTGCCATTGATTTCCAGAGAGCCTGGATTTCACCCTTTGTCCACAGCAGTCAGAGTGGTAAGGGTATCACTGCAGGCTTCCGCACAGCAATCTCCTGTCACGTGTAAAAAGACCTCCAGGATTTAAGAGAGTTAATGTCCTAATCACTGTCTCATCGGATCTCTCCTCCAGTTCTTCTTTCGCTCTGCAAAGCACACTCACTGCACGCACACACACACACACACACACACGAATGTCACGTCGTCAGAGTTTGCTTCCAGAGCTCAGATGCTGGCATATTTGTGGAGAGACTGCATTAAACAACCACCACAGACACCCCAGGCCCCGCATAGTAAATATAGCAATTCACCGTAACTAGAGAAAATAGCAGCACTTGGCTAATAACACCATGCAGTCCTATTTTGGATGCACTGTGGCTGCTGGCAGCGCTTTTGTTTGTTTTGTTATTTCTGCAAATCCTATTAGCTTGTTGCCAGCCTATAATCGGAAGGGAAGGCCAGCACCTGTCGAACAATAATCGTCAGTGACCTGGTCTCATATTTATCACTAGAGTTGTAGCAATCCGTTATAATATTCAGCTGGCAAATAATTCAGAATGCACAGAAGTGCATTACACAGGGTCAGCTCTCAGGAAATATTACCTATGATCTCTGCCTGAGGGAGAAGTGATTTATCAGACATTTGCTCAAACTTTCTGCACACTTGTATCTAGTGTACAACAATCTGACAAATAGTTTTACTGATTTGGTTTGATATCTCTCTCTCTCTCTCACACACACACACACACACACACACAAGTTCGGGGCTATTCCAAACTAGGGATTTGGTTGGGCTATATGAAGTAGACCCTGCCTGATAAGTCAGGCAGAACTGGCTGTGTTTAGTCACTTGGGAGCTAGAGATAACCACAAGCTCTGAGTTCAGCAGCCTCATCAAAGAATTCCCTTTGTATTCAACACTGCCAAGGCCTGTCTCCTCTCTAGGAGGGACACTACAAGCCCATAAAAAGGGTTGGGGGCCAGTGGCAAAGTTCAAATCTGTGTCTGCAGCCAGCTCCCAACTTCCTCAGAGTTTGGATGGACTGAGTTTAGGGCCTCATCTCTGGAAGGAAACAGAAATCACTTTTAAATATATTCTCAAAATTTCCCTCTCTGAGTGGAGATTCACACTGCTGGGAGGTCCTACCACATCGTCACCTAGGGTCCTACGGCCAGCAGTGCTGTGCTTTTCTAATCTCCCGCCAGCTGGGCACTCACTACTCTGCTATTCCTTGCATAGCTCAGTCACACATGTAGCATTTGCTCTCTCACTGAAGCTGCCCTGTAAAACCATCGTAGGAATTTACTAGTCCAGGCCCGATATCTACATGATATCTAGGATATCTACCTCCACTTATACCCACCAGTTAGATGCATTTCCTGCTGCACTCCTCCCTTCCCACCCCTTGGCATCTAAATTAGACTCTCAGCCAGGGAAACAAAGGTGAGGAGTAAAGACGTGTCTAAGGTTCACCTCAACCAGCTACATCAAAATACTACAACTTGTCCTCTCTACATTAGGCTGTTGCACCATCTTAGCTAATGTGTGTTAACTCTCTGGTTGTAAACCACAGGTTCTTCCTAGTATAGACACAGCCAGGGAAAGTACAGCAGAGTCGACGCTGGTGTAAGTTATCTGCTGAAGGGGCTAGAAATAGATGTACATCACAACAGCTTAGGCTCATCCCTGAATTTGGCCCAGATTGTCTACTGTGTATACGCTAGAGAACCTCAGCAATCTCTAGAGAGAGAAATCTGTGTAGATAGATAAACGGATCTGTAAAGCTGAGCAAACTCCGAGGAGCTTTGGAGAGAATCCAGGAAGCCACATGAACCCTTGGCTGGAGATTTTTCGGCTGTTGCTAACCCACAGTGCATTCCAGTGGCAGGCCCTGTAGCCGCTGCTGTATCATTACAGACAGTGCTACACAGCATCTGCAGATAAATTCCAGCATTTCTCCCAAAGTCTGAGCAACAGCTGAAGCTTCCCATCAGCCATTTATCTCTGGCAACTGAGAGCCACAGAACTAATGCCAGCATCTCAACCTGCCCTCACTAATGGAGTCACTTGTGGACTCCGCTTGCCCCTGACAATCTACCCAGGGAACCCGCTAACACAGATGCTGAAAAAGTTAGAGTCACCTCTAGCCTGGGGGGATTCAAAAGACAGCCTGTACCGGTGCATACTGTTCCCTTCCCAGTGTATTCTCTGCCCATGCACATGACATTTGCCCACACCTTTATATGCACTCCATCTGCAGCTCATTTATACCATAGGAAATGCATTTCCTCCATCTTAACTAATCCAGACTGGAGCACACAGGAGGCTGGGGGCAGTCTGGAAGCAGGTGGGCAAACCTGCCCCACAAAAGGGCACTCAGCAGCACTGCCCAGGAGAGGGCAGAGATCAGAACGTGTGTGCCTGAGAATAGAGAAGACAATGCCAGCCCTACACTTCCAGGAAGAGGCAGTTGCTTGGGGGTGGCTCTTCTCATCCAGGCATGGACACTCCAGATAGGCAATTTTTCTGCCAGTAGCTGCTGAGGCTAAGAAAGCTGCTTGCAGGAGCTCTGTCCTGCTAAGGGGTTTTCCTGATAGGCTGAAGGAGGTTCCTTCTTTCAGCGACACCCTCTCCAAACCTTCAAGTTCTCTCCCAGACCAAGTGCCTCCAGAGTTCATTCACATTGCGGGTTACTCCCCACCCCCCTCGCCCCCTGCCTTGACCCCACTTCCTCCTCTTCTCAAAGGGGAAAAAGCATTGGGCTCTGAGCCCCTCCACTCAGCTCATTAATTACACGATTACCATAAGAGCTTCCCAGAAAGCAGAAGATTGGCTTGACAGCATTAAGGGCCCAATCCTGCAAGCTGCTCAGGGTCTCCTGCGAGGGGTTGAACTCCAACGCAAGCCAGAGAGTTGTGGGTGCTCAACACTCAGCAGGAGAGACTCAGCGCCAGGCAGGATCAGGCCCTAAGAGCGCTTTGTTGAGTCACCAGATCCAGCTTTTTGGTGACCTTAGAGCCACCTTCCCTCCCCCCCGCTCACGTCAGCGCATAACCCCGCCCGTCTCACCACTTAACCCCGCTGGCTGGGCCCCAGGCTGTAAAAGCCATTTCTCATCCCTCCGCTCTGTCATTAGCGCTCAGCGCCTCAGCAGCCAGGTGGCTGGCTTTTGTTCCTATGCTTCAGCTGTCTGGCAGGTGGGAGTTGTTTCTGTGACCTGTCCCATGCCAGAGCCCCATTGCTATGAGCGGAGGCCCCGCATTTGCATTGTGGCGGCGATTATGTCTGAGAACCCGAGCGCGTTTGCGCTGACAGGCTGGGTGGCCGTGCAGGCTCATGCAGGGCACGGCGTGCATATATAGCGAGGGAGGCAGGCTGCCTAATCCAGTATGTGCTTGGCAGGTATTTTTGGCCGGTTGGCTGATCCCGCTGGAACATATTTACTGAAATAGTAACTCGCTGACGACACCGGTGGCCAAACGGAGGAGAAGTTTACAGAGGACACCAGAAATAACGGAGGATGTCCGTGATCAGCGCCTTGCCTTTCCTGAAGCCCATTCACCTGAGGCCTCCGCGGAGCTCGCCCGGACGCCAACGCCGCCACACGCTTCCCGCCAGCGAGTTCCGGTGCCTCACTCCCGAGGATGCAATCAGCGTATTTGAGATTGAGAGAGAAGGTAAGAGCCCTCCTTCCCCACTAGCCATCTGCCTCAGTCCTGCTCAGCCAAAGAAACCACAGTACTGCCCCAGGCCTTAATTCAGAAATACACCTGGCACTGGCGTGCAAGTGGAAACGTCTCTCCTTCTGCAGGGGACCAGGGCTTAGCACCGCAGGCAGGAACAGCGGAGAGTCGTTATAGCATCTATCTTAGAAGCTGGGGCCCAAAGTGCTTTACAGAGCTAACAAAGTAGCAATGGAGACACAAATGGAAAGAGAATGAGTGACCCGTTTACCTCTCCCCCAGCATCTTTAGTGTCAGATCTGTTACAAGCCCCAGTCAGTCAATCTGTTTGCGAGGGTATTTGAAAAAACTCACCTTCCCCCGATAAAGACAGCCAGCACTCCCCCCTCTTCCCACAAGGACAGGGAGAATCAGAGGTGGAGGCAGCTTTAGGTGTGCTGGAAGCCAGGTGTTATAGGGTGGAACCCACTTAAGGGCCCGTTCCTGGTCCCAGTGGAGTCAATAGCAAAATTCCTAGACTCTACAGAGCCACACTGAAGTCACGTTTATTCACATACCAGCACCACTGTGCAGAGAGGCTCCCTGCAGCAAGGAAAGCAGCATGCGCCTTGGGGTACATTAGAAAGCACTTGGCCCTCTTATCCTGCCCTAGGAAGGGCTTTTCACCATAGCAGGGTCAGTAGGGCCAGATTCCACTGAGAACAAATAACCTTTTTCCTCCAGGTGGGGTGTTCCCTCCTTGCTGTGCGCTTCCGATACTGAACACTGAAGCCAGCTGGGATACAAACAGATTAGTCAGAATCAATTTTTCAGTCTTCGAACCCGAGAGTTACAGATCAAGTACTCACTGGAGCCAAGAGCATTTGTAGCTAGCCTAGTTCTTCTCATGAGATTTCTCTGGGTCTGCAAGACCTGCAAACCATGGACCGCATCACCACTCGGGTCTGGGCTGAGTTTGGCCCTTTGTTCCCTCTTGCGATAAATTTCAAAGGAAAGCCAGCAAACCTGCTAGAGAAGGGGGAGTAATTTCCATGCGACAGTCAGCAATGGCCAACGGCAAGAGACATCCTGGCATAAGCCTGTAATGTTCCAATGAGAACCTGCCACTTGCTGTGTAGAAGGGAGGGGTTTCTACTAGTGACGACAAGACCAGATTCTCCATCGTGTCATTTACACCCGTGCAAAGGGAGAACAAAGTGGATGTAAATACTTCCATGCTGATCTCCTTTGCACAGGTGTAAATGCCTGCACGAGATACAGGACAATGGAGAACCAGGCCTGGAAATCAAAGCTGGGAGCAGCCCAGAGCAGAGGGAGATAAGAGCAGAGGTAGTTACCAGAAGGCAATATATACTTCCCGCATTCTCAAACCCTAAACACAAAGGCTCAGATCCACAGATACTGACGTACCTAAACTCAAGACGTAGGCACCTAAATCCCAGTTTTGGCTTCACTGTGATGCACAAAACTCCCTAAATTCACTCAGGGCCTATGTTTTCAGAGCAAAAGTTCCCTAGGCACCTGTTTCTGCCTCTAAGCATGTGCACTGCTGCGTTCCTCCAGGCATGTCCTGCCTAAGCCCCAGAGCAATTCATGAATCAGGGGAAGACAGGCATTCGGCGCCCAATCCAGTAGGTGTGCTCAGAAGCTGACTCAGATCTGGTCCCATTCAAAATCCAGCTGGAAGAGGTAATGGTGATCATACTGACCACCGTATAACTTGACTGCAGAATCATTCTCTCAGTCTTGGGCCAGAGAGAGACAATGATTCTGTAGCCCAGTGGTTAGAGCGCTCCCGAGAGGTAGGGACCGCCAGCTGTTTGGTATGGGGCGAGGCAGGTGCCCCGTTGCTGTTCGGGGATCGCCAGCAGAGATAGGCACCTACCTCAGGGCTGCAGAGCACCTATGTCCAAGAGGAGTGGGGCTTAGCGCACACTTCTCTCATCGGAATCGCCCATTGACTACGTTAGGCAGCTCCGCTCTGAGCATGCTGGCTTTGTGGATCCCAGTCTAGGGCGCCTGGCTCTCCCTGTTCATTATATAGGGAATCTCGGTGCCTAACTCGGCTTTGTGGATTGCCAGGTGTGCCTGTGATTTTCGATGCACCTAAAAGTTAGGTGCTGGGAGGGTCAGTGTTGCAACCTCTAAGTCTCTTTGTAGATCCCACCCAAACTGCTTTTACCTCTAACCAGCTTTCCCTTTTATTGATCATTTCCCAAGCTGTAGAGATAATCATAACATTTCAAGACCAGTGTTTTCCAAATCAATTAGCAGGAACTTTGAAACTATATAAATATCTGTGGCTGGTTTTAAATTGCGTGCTAAATGCTGTAGGAGTGACTCAGAAAACCCGCAGGGAGAGCACAGTGAACTAGCGAGCCGTAAAGCAATGTCCCGGATCAGAGATGTACTGATCAGAGAACAGAGCAGGCACAGCTTCCTAGAACAGTTCTCCTGCTTGGGAGAGCCGAGGGCTTTGCTTTCTCAAGTGTGAAGTGCCCATCTTCTAAAAGGAAGTAACGTACAGAAGATGTATGGGTGAGAAGGGGAATCCCAGTTCTTTCTGGCTTCTCCTGGAAGGAGAGATTGACTTGAGCCACAAAAGTTCAGATCTGGATTCAAACTTCCCCAAAGTTCATGAGCACCTGGATCCAGGACTTTGGTTCACACCCCTCATGTTTGTTAAGCTCCAATTCCCAGCCCATCATCAATTAGTCTGAGGTTCTCCCAGCCAAGGGGAGGCTGCAGTGTAGCTCTGAGAGGCTGTTCCCTCTTGACATTGCCTTGTTTTTATTCTTCTCTAGCATTTATCTCCGTTTCGGGCGACTGCCCCCTTCACCTGGATGAGATCCGCCACTTTCTGAACCTGTGCCCTGAGCTGTCGCTTGGCTGGTTTGAAGAAGGCCGACTGGTGGCTTTCATTATAGGATCCCTTTGGGACCAAGAAAAACTCAGCCAGGTAAGAACCAGCTCCTGTTACTGCATCTTGTCTCCATTTCCTTTCCATGCTAGGGATGGAGAGGACGACGACGGAGCTTTGAGACAAGAGGGTGAAGTCCAACGTGCATAGGCATGACTGTAGTTATTGGGGGTTACTCCAAGGGAGCATGTGACCCGGGTGCTGAGCTGAGCACCCAAGTGCAGGGAAGGAGAGCAGGGGCTGCTCCAGGTACCTAATTAGTTCAGTTTGTAAGACACCCTTTTTATATTTATTTCAAAGGGGCGGGGGAGGCTCCATTCTCCAATGCCCTCCAGCTTTGCAGCCACAGCAGATGGGGCTGAACCAAGAGGGCTTTTCCGTTTCAGAGACATCCACAACTCTTGGGGCAACAGGGCTTTGGCTAAGTGCCAGAGTAAGGCAGGCTCTGTATTGCTCCCTGCATATGCAAATCCCCTCTTCTCTGTTCTAAGGGGCTGCCACCTTACAGACTAGAAACGGAGAGGTAAAAAATTCCCCCTCGGCACCTTTCATTCACAACGTGGCTACTATTGAAAGCCCAAACTCAACCCACTGTTAACTCCATCAAACTATTAACTGCAATACAAACAGGGCCATTCTCCTAGGGACAAAAACTTCCTGCTGATTCAGCCTCTCTCTTCTGCAAAGCACTTTACAAGCTAATCGATTTCTACAAGCAACCTGGAGTGAGTTCACTCCTGGAGAGAGCTCTCTTGCAGTATTAATTGCTACAGGACAAAAATAAGTAGAAGAACTGAGTTATTGCTTTGGTATTAAAATGTGTTTAATATTAAAAAAACAACCTCTTTACAATTACAAGTAATTAAAAGGGAAAGGGCTCTGTAAGCCTTTGCAGGGGAAGGAGCACCCTCTAATCAGTTAGAGCAGGAAACTAGGCGGCTGGACTCCTGGGGCGTATGCCTGGCTCTGTCACTGCCTCTCTGGCACCCTGGGCAAGTCACGTAGGATCTGATTTTCAGGAAGGGCTGAGCAGCCACAGCTCCAATCATTTGGAGATGGAGATTGGGGGGTGGGGACTGGGAGCTCAACACTGATCAATCAGGCCCTAACTGCTTCGTGCCTCAGTTTCCCCCTCTGTGAAATGGGGATGACTTCATCTATTCAGGGGTGTCATGAGCCTTTGGGTACTGTCTGCAAAGCACTTTGTACTTGGACAACACCTCCAGTAGATCAGGGGAGAGCCGCAGCTGGTGTGCATCTGCCTACTCCCATGGAAGCTGCTCATTCACACCAGCTGAGGATCTGGCCCATTACATCTGCAGCCCAGTCAAATGAGCGCTCGACACAGAATGAGCGAACCGCCAGTTGACACGCTTTCCTGTCTCCCCTCCCCCGGCAGGACGCACTGACTCTGCACAAGCCCGGTGGCACCACCGTGCACATCCACGCGCTGGCCGTGCACCGCACCTTCCGCCAGCAGGGCAAGGGCTCCATCCTGATGTGGCGCTACCTGCAGTACCTCCGCTGCCTGCCCTACGTGCGGCGGGCCGTGCTGATGTGCGAGGACTTCCTCATCCCCTTCTACCGGAAGTGCGGCTTCAAGGTGCGGGGCCCCTGCGAGGTCACCGTGGGCTCGCTGGCGTTCGTCGAGATGCAGTACCCCGTGCGCGGCCACGCCTTCATGCGCAGAAACAGCGGCTGCTGAGATGGCGCCTTCCCCCAGCTTCGACGCTTCTCAGGCAATGTTAGGGGCGGGCAGCCACGGACAGGGAGACAGAGCTGCGCAGCAGCAGCTGCTCTCCTTACAAGCAGCATCCGTGCTCACGGCTTACTTTTGTGCCTGCCTGGTATTCCAGCTGGCTGCCTTTTAACTAGTAGCTCCAGGCCCAGCCCACTTGCCTCTTAACTGCTCCTAGCGCTGACCCAGCCATCGAGCTTACAGATACGGAGCGAAAGGCAGCAGAACCACAGTAAGCACCCTTGCCTCTTCGGTCCAGAGCTCAACAGGCAGGCTCCATAAGGCTCCAGCTGTTGAGTTTGACCTCCCCAGGACAGGGGTACGTCAATCCTGGCTAGCCCAAGCCTCCCCTTTAGCCCCTGGCTTTAAAAGCAGCAGTGGGAGTAATAAAGCTCTGAGAGCATGTTATGCAATTATAGAGGTGGGAAAAAACATTGCTTGAGAAGCAGCACCACATGGATCAGTTCATCGATTCCCTGTTTTTGTTCTCTTTATCAAATGCTCCAAGGCCAATAACATGTGGCAGACACCTCTTGGGGTCTCTGCTGGGAAAAGCCGTCTGCGCCTTCTCATGCTAGTTGCTCGCTGCCATGTTCTGCTGTGATGCATTAAATGGAATCCGTTCTTGTACGTTCTGTACATATGTGAGATACATTCAGCTACGCTAGGCTCCAGCAAGTCCCCTTCCTCCCTCGCCCTCCTGCTGTTATAGGTTGACAACCAACGGACGTGTGAGAAATCCCATAATAATGTAGGCTCAGTGATGGCTACCCCTGCTCCAACAGACTAGGGCACCAACTTCCAACCCCATATAGGAGATACTGTCCCCAAACCACAGCATGCTCAAGGCCTAAGGGAGAGCAAAATATAACATGGGACTGAATGCTCTCTAAAGAGCCCAGCAAGGAGGCTACACCACTTGATAGACATTCCCATCAACTCCCACCCCAAAATGGCTATTAAGGGGTAGCTTTTTCAACAGACCCTTTAAGATATATTTGTGGTCCTTATCTAGTGAAATCCAAAGCACTGCTAGAATGGCTCCAGAGAATCACAGATGAAAGTTGTTCCCATCAGATAATCACACAGGGTTTTGCAAAATCCAAACATGGCAACACCACTTGGTTTATTCCTTCAGAACAAGAGGGTACATCAGCCCGCACTCCCTCCCTCATCCCACGGACCAGTTCTGTGTATAGACCAGAGCTACTAGCTCATGCCATCCTAGTTCACTGGAAATATGAAAGCCCCTGGGAACACCCTGTGCTGTTTGTCAGTTCCTTTGTTCATCAGCAAATAAAGGGTTTATTTGTTGTGTTTTCTAATGGGGTTCTTGTGTGCGTGTTTTTTCCTGGAACACAATTCAACAGCCAGTAACAGCGGTAGACAAAGGGAAGGGTGCAGAGTTTGGTCTGCACACTTGAGAAGTTACATCAAAAAGCCAGTGGGCCACAAAGCATCTTCGCCCGGCCGTTTTAGCGAAGTCTAAAAGCTAAGGGAAGGTTGGAAGTATCCAGCCGGAGGCACAAGGGAACATTTGATGCTAAGAGGGAGTGTGAAAGGGAGAGAGGTAACCCCCCCTCTCCCTCCCCCCCTTGCTGCAGGGATACTGCAGGATGACAGCCCTTCACGCTGGAGTCTGCTGCCTTCCCTTGTTTGGCCCTCTGAAGCAGCCTAGGAGGCGGTCGTTGAGGAGAGACTTGTGCCACCATTCCTTTCCATAGGGCTTCTGAAGCCCTATCTGCTTTCCAAAGATATCCAGCCTGTCTCACCTTCCTGGCCTCCCCTTGCAAGAAAAGCAAAGTCAGTTTCGCCTGCCTGGACTTTGGTTTAAAAATCTGTTCTGAATGAAATCAATCCTTTCCCAACAAGCATCCTAGGAATTTACAGCAGAAGGGAGGGGAGAGCTGTTTTGTGCAGGACGGAGGAAATGCAGCCCTACCTTTCTGGAACGTCCCTTGTAAGGAAGGACAGATCAGAGCGCTCTCATATGTCCGGGCTGCGGGCAGCATACCACAAATACAGTAACACTTCACATGCAGGATACCGGTGGCTCCCAGCATACCTGGCTCTCCCACACCAGGGCCAGGCCTGCCCGCTCTATTCTCACCCTTGGGGCAGTTTGAATTTAAATCAGGAAGGACATTATTTCCATCCACCCCACTCCTGCTCCATGGCTGCAGCCCCTCCCACCAGACCCCGCTCACTGTCTGGAGTTAACCCACCCTCTGTCCTTAGCAGGGAAACTGCACTCAGGTCTATGCTAGAAAACGTTGCTGTTATCGTAATGTCGGGTAGAGACCAGCCAAAGCCCTAGCGTGGTGTTTTTCTAGACCAGTCAAAGCCCTAGTGTGGACAGAGTCCTTTCGCCAGGATATTTTGTTTGGGGACCCGGTATCAGCTATACTGGCAAAAGCATGTGTTGCCAGTGTAAGCAGTGTCGACACTAGGAGAGTTGGTGGGTATAGCTACACGGGCAAATCTTTCCTAGTGTCGACTAGGCCTGTGTTAAGGGGCAGCTCTGCTCCTGCCGCTCAGCCTGTTACCGCAGGAAGGCACTTGTTTAAAATCCCATAACAGGACCTTTGGCCAAGAAGCAAGAACAGAGCCTGTATGTGGACTTGCACCAGCATGGAATTCAGACTGGACCTAGGCCGGGCTCTCTGTGCAGTACAAAAATTGGCCAACTGCTTGATCCCAATAGTAGAGGGGACAGCTTCCACTGCAGGAGAAGACTGCTCCCGTGAAGGGTGCTGCAGAAGCATCAAGGACTGCTAGTGGCAGTCAGTCAAAGCAGGCAGCATTTAAAGCCTTCATGTGAGAAAGAGGAGATGGCAGCAGCAGGAAAAGGCAGTTGGCACTAGCCAGAGTGATGGGCAGTGCAGCTCCATTTATCACCACACGAGGCAGACTTGAGTTCTGGGACTGTAAACGCCCTCGCATAGAGTCCAGGAGCGACACAAACCACGTGAAAGTCTCATGGGGCTTGTCACTGGAACGCCCTTGATTGTCTCCAAGCGCCAGGATTCAGTAGCTTAGTAAGTTTCACAGACAGCAAAACCTTGTTGAATCTGCAGTAAGAGACCGTTGCAGATGACCAAGTCAGTGAGAAAACCCACAAACTAGAGAAATAAACGATAATCACCTTTGAGTGCCACGTGCCATTAAATGGGGTCTGATGTAGCACCAATGAAGAGACTCCAGCAAGGTTTGGGTTGGGATACAGCATTAGCCATATATAAAGTGCACGGAAGGCTGGTCTAGCACACTAGAGAGGAAGGAGGGTCCAGTGGTTAGAGCACTAGCCTATGATCTTTGAAGACTTGGGTTGAGTTCCTTGCACCACAGATTTCCTGAGAGACCTTGTGCAACTGACTCTGTGCCTCAGTTCCCCCACCTATGAAATGGGGATAATCCCATGACCCTACCTCCCAGGCACGTTAGAGTGAGAGGTGCTCAGATGCTAAGTACCATCGAGAGGAATTACGCAAGTCGTAATGAGACCACATTGTTCTCTCTTCACTGGGCAGTGGTATGAGGGTACCTGCCCAGTGAGAATGACTGCATTTGGGAGACGAGCTAAGGAAGCAGTGGTGGGTTCTGCTACAGGGTAACTGACTCAAGACCCTTCAAGGGCCACAAATTAAGACGACAGCCAGGTTAATTAAGAAGAGTTAGACAATTTGTATTTCACCATCATTGAATTTATGCTTCGGCTTTAGAGTCAACTCTGGTTCTGTTTATTCCACCCTCCCTCCCCCAAACTGGTCACAAAACAAGTGTCACTACCCCCACCTAGTGTCCTCCATCCAGCAGCAGCGACTGATCCCGGAAAACGGGCTTTGTGCGCGTCTCATTAAATACAGACACATTTAATAAAGGAAAGACAGTACTTAAAAGCATCAGTGATGACAGGGTAGAGCTCCAGGTTTTGGATAAAATAGCATGGGGGGGAGGGAAGAGTAGGACTGGAGGCAGTATGGGGAAAAAAAACCCCCACACTGTACGTAGCCACCCACCCAGCCCAAGTATGCTGGGAACACCATGTGGCCCGGCACCAGCACAATTCGTGTTTGCTAACCCAGGGAGAGGTTTCCAGATGCACAAGTGTGATGGGAGAAGCTGTTTGATCGTTGTGAAATGTAGGAGCTAAAGGGGCCCATCTCCTTGCTTGGTTTACAGATACGGCTGATCATAAGCCAGACAAGCCTTCAGGGTGCTTAGAGCAACATGTACGGACCCCGCATGCTGCCATGGCTCAGACGAGCAACGCCAGGCATTCATTATTCAAATGAACTGACATCCCTGCCTAGCCAGAGAGGAAGTACAGCATGGGCAGCAGCAGGGCAAGCTTCTTCTATTGTTGACCCAACCCCAGCCCACATCTGTGCAGGAGATGGCAGTTCGGTCTCCACCCATTATTCAAGCCTTCGCCTCACTGCTGAGCAGGTGCATGTGCACGTGATGTGGATACATATCCACAGGGCTGCGAGCCAGCAGCACATGACACGCAACGTACTGAACAGCCACCAGAAGATAAACATGGTCCGTTGCAGGCTGTATCAGAACTAGGGACCCCAAGGTGAATGCCTCTGTCTTTCCATTATTAATATGCGCTTAAAGCTTCCAAAGTCTGAGTTAAAGGAGGCACTTTCCACTTCTGTTCATGGATGGAATCATTTTAATTTATTGAGGACTTAAAAAGAACTTATATTTGCTTCTTTAAAACAAGGTCTCAGCCAGTAATGCAGCAGTGTAACTTCAGAAGCCCAGTTCTATGTGGTCCGAATACCATGCTTAAGAGCTTAATTGTTATTTCTCTATCATGAGATCCAAAGTCTCCTAGTTACAAGATAATTAAACTTTGGGTTACTTGTTAACTTAGAGTCGAATGGCCTAGTTAATATACAGGAACATAGCATGGAACCATATAGGATAGTATCTGGCATGCTTTTACTAACTGGATAGTTATTGTACTTGGGCCCTAGAAGAGAAGGAAAAAACTAAGATTTGGTATTTCTCTGGGTGCTTTTTCTTTTCCAAGATCAGGATTTGGACACTGAAGGGACAGCCGACAGTTCCTCTTTCACCCAAAAATCTACCCCTCCACCCCCTTGTGGGTTAAAAGAAAGAGGTAATACTGTGGCAAAAGTGGAGAATCACCCTCTGACAGTCATGTCATATGAGAGGAGAATTCAGAAACCCCAAGAGTCTGAAGCAAGGTGGGGCTGTAACAGTTGCTAACTAATCCATGCCCCCCCTTCTTGTGCCTTCCTCAGCAAACGCACGCACACTGACCCAGAACTGTCAGCAGCATTTTACTCTGTTAGTTCATCTTTAGGACAGTTTCCTGGTCGCCCTAGCTAGGAACACACTGATTCCGGTAGCAAGCCAGATGGAGGCAAGTCCAGCTTCAATGCAGTCTGCTCCTCTGTGCTTACAAAGGAAAACTCCAGCCTCAAAAATCCTATTCCTTGCATGTCATCCCCAAGCATCAATGGTTTTAAAAAGGGGGCCTTTACTACTTTAAAGAGCAAACAGAAAAAAGGTTGGGATACTTTGATGATGAAGATTGGGACTGAAAAAATAAGTGTCGCTGAGGGCCCAATTCCACCACCCCTCCTTGGGCTGAAGTGGTACCTTAAATAGGCAAACAGACTGATTGCTACAGAGCCGTTTTCACAGCAAAGCACTGCTCAACTTGAGTAAGTGGGCAGAATTAGCCCTTATGCACCACACTGGAAATGGGACTCTGCATCAGCCTGAGCAGTGTCATTAAAAACGGTCAGTTTCCTCTGAGCCAGGCACCAGCATTCAGACTGGAGCCGCTAGAATGACAGGTATTCCCAATGACCACTTGAGGACTCTTACCAGTGAGCATTTGGTTCAGGCGCTATGGCTGATCACTGGTGTTTTTCTCTAGAGCCTTATGGAGGTAAGAAATATTGGCATATAAAAAGTGCCCCCTGCAAAAGGGGTTCGTTTTCACAGTACGATTCACAGTACCCGCAAGGCACTGAGATGGGATGGGGCTACAGGATCTCACGCCATTAGGCAGAAGGAGGGAAGGGCAGGTCAGGAAAGGGAGACCATTGAAAGAGATGCAGCGGGGGGGAGAGGGGGAGGAAAAGAGGCAGATTTTGCTGACGGAGCTCAAGGAGTGTCATTCAGGTGCTTTCAAGGCAAGCCCTGAAACGCCTCATTCTTGGGGCTTCAGTCCCATAAGGAAGGATCCAGCAGTTTCGCCATGGAAGGATTCACGGAGGGTGAGAGGGAGAGGCACTGGAGGGGGCTGTTCGGCAACACAAGTCCCTGCACAGGGCCGTCACCTCAGAGCACGGCCTGCCACTGGAGGCCTTTCCCAGCATGGAACAAAAGCACCAAAGCCTCCCACGTTCCCAATTTGGTTCGAGTCTTTCCCAGGTGAAGTGGCTGCTGGGCTCCCAGGCCAGCAGCTGCACCTGGGGATTATGGCTTTTCAATGTGGGGTGACAGATCTGTCCCACGTTGGCCGGACGAAATGCAAACCAGGTCAGTTCAGCTCCACTCCTTCCCACATCCAGCAGTGACCAACCAGGGCAGCTCCCCCCCTTGTCCCCAAAATAACAGCACCTGCCCAGCACCAGCGCTAAGGGACAGACTGTGGCTCTGAGGCAGGCCTAGCCCTGAGTGAACATCCTGCATGGCTTTAGACAGCCGAGAAGAGGACTGGGGCACTTAACAGCAACGTCACCCCTCTCCGTTGCACCCTGATTTGAAGTCACTTTCCCAGTCACTGAGAAAATCCACCTGGTGCCAACTTTCCATGTTAAAACCTCTGCCCCATCCTGCCCTGTCTCCAGGCTGAGGGGGTCAGTGCAAAACCTGGTCCAGGTCATACTTCTCGCAGAACTTGCTGGTGAAGGGCAGGCAGGTGAGATACTCGATCCAGTGCCAGTTGATGGGGTAGACGTAGAGCCAGATCACCAGGGACGCAAAGAGACCCAGAAAGACCAGCATGGAGACAATGATCATGGCCCGCTTGCGGTACTTGTCCCCGGTGCCAAAGGTGATGTAGGGGAGGAAGGCAAAGGACAGTAGGAGGCCGCTGAGGAAGCCGAAGATGTGGGCAATATTGTCGATCCAAGGCAGGAGGCCGCACAGAAACAGAAAGAGGACGATCCCAAAGAGGTTCAGAAAAGCCTTCCAGGGCTTCTCTAGGATCTGCCAGCTTTGAAAGAGCTCCACAAAGAGGCAGGCCAGCAAGCCAAACTGGGATCCAGCAGGGCCAACCTGAGGGAGATAAAGATGGGAGTTACAGTGGGTCCCACTCAAACTTAATTCAGTTACAGGAGTAAAAGCAATGTGGTCCAGTGGTTAGGGCACCATGGGAATCAGGAGAACCAGGCTCTATTCCCTGCTCCGCCACTGACTTGCTGGATGACCTTGGGCAAGTCACTGCTCTCTTGGTGCCTCTCTTTCCACTCCCAGGCTTTGTCTGCTAGTGTGTAGACAGAGGGCTGGGACTAGGTAAACCCCGGCAAGGGCTCATTCAACTATTTTGACACGTGCTGTCCTTCGTTTAAATCCTGAGGTGAAACAGCGATAAACTGCTCCCCTGTGGCCAGGGCTCTGTCTCGTCACTTGCTTTTGCTTTACCGCTAGAGACACTGAGTTAAAGACAAATATCCAGCTCAAGCCAATGGTGCTCCAGACAGCTTTTGGTGCATCCAGCTAGCACAGCGATCAGTTTTCTCAAGACGCCTGTAATTTATCACAGGCAGCAAACAGCCACGGGAGGGTGAGTTGGATTCTGTTCTGGCTCCTGATTCAGCCAAGGGCAGAACCTGTTACTGGTGCAGGTGGGTGAGACAGGAAGAGACCCAGCAAAGGGGACTGACCAGCACGCTCCCCCTACTCTGCACACCAGAGGGGTGGGGATGACAGAGGTGAAGCAGGGGAACAGCGAGGACGGGGAAGGAAGAATTAACCTAACGCTCCCATTGGCGGCTTGGGACAAGAGCCCTGGTGCCTGGGGCTGCTCAGACCTGCTGGGAAGTGGCCATAGAAAAGAAGAGTTCAGTACTCTGGTTTCCAGAGAAGTCAGTACTTTTGGTGACTCAGCAGCCATCCCACAGCAAGCTCGGCCTCCATCCCGCCCCGCAGGCTAACTCAAACAATCACCCTGAGACCCAATCAAAGGGATTACGTGTGTGTGATCTAATGCAAAGCCCATCAGAATACTGCTGACAGATTAGCCATCTGCCTGGTGCATAAACCCGCAGGGTGCATGCACGCTCACGTGCGTGTACATGGGACGGCGTGGCACGTGCAAACCCTGCACATGAGACAGAAGTGGATTAGGGCCAGGCTGCACCCCCAGTGCATCAGGGAAGTAAACGGGACACACGGATCAGTCGCAACTCAGACTGAAAACTTTATTGGACTCTCTCTCTTTAATCAGGCTACTCTACCTAGGACTCCTGGATTATGACTGATGAGAGAAATCAAGGCCCGATCCCCACTAGCAAAGAGTCTGGAGAAAGTTGAAGATTTATGTGGTTTAGCTGAAATATGCCCTTTGCTCACCTTGGACTAGTCTACACTCAATGTCGACTCCGGTTTTAAAAAGGAACCAGGTCTAAGCTATAACCCTAGGTGTTCACACCTTGGGCGACTGTCCCCATATGTATGCGCCAATGCAGTTCAGAGCTCAGGAAGCCCCCTCCCCCCACTCCCGACTGCCATGACCGAGTAGAAAGAATAAACTCCCTTGCCCCGGAGGGGCAGCTACACCTGGAAAGTCAGTGCCGAAGCAGATAGCTACGGAGCATCCTTAAAAACCATCATCCTCCGACTGTAAGTGCCTCCTCCAGCACCTAGCACAGTGGGGTCCCAATCCTGAACTGGGGCACTGGGCGCTGAGGACTAGAGTTGGAGGTGCCAAGCACCCCCACCGCTCACTGGGCTGTAAAAGGACACGGCTCAGAGGGATGCTGCTGTCTCTTCTCTCCTTTACCCAGGGAGGGGCTTGGAGCCTAGAAGGTGTGGGTGGTTTTACCTGATCTCTATAGTAATCACCCCTTTCCTGTGGGGAAATGGGCAGACAGCTCCAAGGAAGGTACCTCTGAGTGGGCAAAAGGCTGTGCGGTGGCGAGACCCCCCACAGGTCGGGCAGTGGGGGGTGGAAGCAGCGAGGAGGAAGAATGAACGAAAGGCAGCAGCTGCCTTGCAGACTGGGGTCACTTATTAATCCCTCCAAAACCTCCCTTCTCAGCTCAGGCGCTAGAGCAGTCGGTTTAAGCAGTCGAGAAAGCTGGACCGCTACCACCAATTCTCTCCCTGCTCTCTCCATCCTGCTGCGGTGGCTAATCCCATTATCCATTTCCTTTGCATCACAGGCTACCGAGCCCACGTTCCGGGTCTGGGCCAGGAGCTCGGGGGCCAAGTTGCCTGTTACAAGCAGCCGACGGAGATGCCCTCTCAGCTCTTCCCTGAGCTGCTGGGCGGTGTGACGAGCAGCGTCAGACACAGAAAGGGCAAAGGGTCCGAGGGAAAACAGCTGCTGGCTGAATGCCCACGGGGGAGAATGTTAAATGAGCTCAGGCCACCAACCCGAGAGCAGCCCCACATCACACACTGTATGGAGGGCAGAATGGACCAGTGTACGTGGGACCTGCCACGCAGAGCCGCCAGGCAGTTCCCGCACATTAAACCATTGCTGGGTCTCCGGGTTATTCCATGTGTTTCGGACTCGTAGCCTGAGCAGGGAGGCCAAGGCCTGACCTGGCTTTTTCACCCTCACAGCTGGTCCCCAGAGAAGGGGCAGCCTGAGGCCCATCGACAGGGCAGAGCGGGGCAGCTGGTGCACTTGGAGCCTGTGCTGTACCTGCTCTGTGGATAGCTAGAGGGCTTCAGCCCACAGGGACGTCAAACCAGCACCTTGCAGCCGCACTAAACAACGCTGTTAATGGTCACTCCCCCGCAAGGCCCTAGATCTCTGGCTGGGTACTTACACAGCCCCATCTCTCTGATCTTTGCCTCTGATGGCGAGAGTGCCGAAAGCTGGCAGGGCTAGAGAGACAGTGGCAAAACCCCCAGTCTCAGAGCACCCTTACCTCTGCCCGGTATGGAAGGAAGATGGCACTGGCCAGGTTGCCAGTGATGCCGCTGAGGATGAAGATGATTGAGATCCTATGCCAGCCTGCCAGCTTCTCCAAATCCCTGAGGACTGTCATCTGGAAGATCACGGATACCAGGCAGTGAACTATCCTATGGAAATACACACACAAATGCTTAGTCTGCAACCCCCTGCACCTATCCCATTCCCTCTCACCCCACTCCATCGCCCACTCACAGCAGGGATTAGAGCTACTCAGGCTTCATCTAAATCAAAACCTAACTCATTTCCTACAAGTGGTGTCCCGGCAGAGGAGTCTGGATTGGCAGCTGCAGGACGACGCTAGGGGACCGTTTGGGTGCAGGGACAGGCACATTTTCATTCTTGGAGGCTGGGAGGGGGAAATACAGTTTCATGCTGTTCTTCATTAACCCTTTACCCATAGCATCTGTCACGTCAGGGAGTAACGAGAGAGTGGCTCAACCAATGGACATGCCACTGTCCAACCGCTAGTCGCATCCCTGGTCCAGGGCACTTCGTTTGATTGCGTGAACATCACTGGGCCTGCCAGAGGCAGAGGCAAAGCTGCAAAGGGAGGCTCTTGGACGAATGGAGGATCCCCACCCCACCCACCCTGCTTCTTACCCGGCGTGAAGGAAAAGGGACAGCCAGAGTCTGTAGAACTGATCGGGGATTTCTGGGTTCAGGAAGGGGAGGAGGCCACACACATCATCCAAGCAATGGACCTGAAACGGAAGGGAAAGCGCCACAGGGTGAAACGAGCAGTGCTGGCTCACGGCCACATCTCAGAGTCTTTAGGGAGAACAGAGGCTGGAGAGGAAAAGCACAGGTGATGCCGACTCATCGCAAAGCACGTTCTCAGGCTATTGATCAGGTCCAGCAAAGCAGCTTCGACCTGCCCGTGGTACATTCATTGAAAACCCCAACATGAATGGGTCAGGTCAGAGGTGAGAGTGACTCCCACAAGTTAAGGGGCAAAGCACCAGGGCAGCATGGGTGCCCAGCACAGATACGGGGTGAGTGGGCTTCTCTGGCGCCCAAGCTGATACCCAGGCAGTGCATTTTCCTGCCTGCTAGGTACTGCGATACCATTGCAGGCTGCTTCAGGGCCGGATGCTGCTTTATTGATCAGGCTCTTGTCATTCCCAGAGCCCGCCCTCGTCCCTAGGATTGCTCTGCCCGGGACCAGCAAGAATCTACCCCTTTTTATTCCCAGCCACCACCGAGCTGTGTGCGGGCCCAGCTCTTCAAGGCAGCTGGCCCCCACCTCGCGGTCTCATGGAGATACACGGCCAGCCTGACCATTGGCCAACGCTCAAAGCATTCAGCTCAGGAAAGCACAGGCTGAGCGTTAGGCCCCCCCACATGCATCATTTCTCCAACCCAGCGCCCCAGGCTCGGCTCACCTGCGAGCAGAGAGTTGCCTCCTCGTGGAAGTAGCCGTGCATGAACTCGCAGTATTCCCGCGTAGTGATCTCGCAGCTAGCGCAAAGGAGGACAAGGTGCAGTCACTTCATGCAGGGATCCCTTCCCCTTCACTCTTAAAGCCCAGATCCTTGTTTATTCTCCCCTCTGCCCAGGGCTAAGATGGAGGAGTCTATCCAGGTTCAGTCTAGTCTAGCTGCATTTAAAGGGTTTGGCTGAAACTCTCAGCTCCTGGCTTGATGCACTGTGGCATTTTCTGCCTTTCCCAAGAAGGGCTCTCTGCCCATCACAACAGACCTACAGGGGCCTTAAGTCAATGACTGGCCAACAATGGGTATGTCCCAGAAGGAAGCATCTTTTCCAAGAAAGATCCCAAGGAAGTTAACCGAAGAAGCAAACCCTCGTATGATAAGGCATAGCCCCAGGACACTGGTCTCCAAGGGCAGAGTAGTCCAATAGCAGTTTCCATGCACATGGACATCCTACATGTACCCAGAGGGATAACGACAGAGTCAGATATGCAAAGCCAGTGGGAATGACCTTTACCCCACTGGGTCCAGAGCAGTTGTCTCAGATGAGCCCTCGGCTCCCTCCCCTCTCCTTTACCCGTGTAACACAAGACTAATGCGATGAGTAGACTAGGGAGCTTAGCCAGTGGCATGGCAAGGTCCAGTCGCATCAGGAATGCTGCCTGGAGGAGCATGGGCGCAGCTTACCTGCCTTTGGTACTGATACAGCACGGTCTCCCTTTGATCTCACAGTCCAGGTGCAAAAAGCCTGTGTGGTTGTTTTTGGCTTGATAGGTGCAAATCTAAAAGGAAGAGTGAAGAACTGGTTAGAGAATGGGAGAGATGCACATACTGGTCCCTGCAGCTGAGGGCACAAGTGCTCATGGACAGCGGGCAAAGCGGAGTTCCACCTCCCAGACCCAGCACGCTGGGGTATGCTACATCAAGGGCCTTCCTCTCTCCAAGCTAGCACTTCTCTGGTCACAAGGATTCCCCAGCTTGGCCAAAAGACAAGCGCCTTTTATTTCTCTGCCTTTCTAGGCCAGGAGGCCCCTCCCAGAACGCTATGGGCATTTCCAGCGATGAACGGGAAGGGAAACAGCAAAATATTCCCTGGAGATTCCTTACCGGCCACTTGGTAATGTCATCTGGCCAGACGTGAGGCGGAGTGGAGGCCGGCTCCTCGCACGTCCTGTGGGAATGGAGCAATCAGTGAGGAAGGGTTTTGCTGGTGCATCCTTTGTCTGGGACCCTCTGACAGCCCAGAGCCTTTCGCTGACAGTCCTTGACGGGCACTCGTAGGGGTCTGGGTAGCTTCTCTCCCCTCCCACCTCAGTGCAGAGTCCCCACTTCATTCTCTTTGGTCTAGGAGTGTCAGACTTTACTACGCACCATGTCCAGGCTGACTGCGGCAGTACAAGGAAGGGGACTGCGCGCTGCCTAACAGACAGTTTAATGTGCTCTTGGGTGTACCGTGTCACATGCCCAGAGGCCCTGGTGACGTGCACACAAATGTAAATATCCAATAGGTAAATTCATCTCTCCGTCTCACCATTAATTACGACAAACAGACAGACATGGTTACAGCACAAAACTGGCAGTCAGGACTTCTGGGTCCTACTTCTAGCTGACACCAACTTTCTGAGAGAGCTCAGGCAAGACTGTTTCAGTTACCTATCTCTCCTTCCCTATCTTTAAAATAGAGCACGTGTGTTTGGAAAAGTGCTTTGAGATCCTCAGATGCAAGGTACCATGGGCATGAACATTCTCCCTTAGTACAACCCTTTTATAGCAGAGCTGGAAATACCGAACCCAAGACCCACCCACCTCCACCCATGGTATATGGTTCCCAAGCCACCCTGCAGACATGGAGACATATCACGGCCTGCCTCCAATCCCTCATTCCTATTCAACAACCCATCCTGTCCTGTCCCCTCCACTTTCCCTGGAAAGGTGCCCATACCTGGGGTCCTGATGGCATACAGCCCCGGACATTCGCTTCCAGCTAGAATTGCCAAGGATCGTCGGGGAGTTAGAGTCTGGCCACTTTGTGAAAGTAGCTAACGTCTCCTGCAGTTCCAGAGAACGGGAATTTGGAGAGTGGGGTTTTTTTAGTTGTTAAACAGATACACAGATTTGATGTGTTCAAACCAGCTTATTCAAACGTGGGTCTATTCAGTCAGACCTCACAATCCTCTCTGCACTACCAAACACCCACCCGCCTGGGCTGAAGAGCCATCCTGGCATCATATATCGCCTCTTGGATGGCTGTTTTAGTGAGATGCTTCCTGTCCTCTGGGTGAGCTCCCCCTAATTCCCTTTCCCCTACCCTGTAGCTGATAGCTATCACAACATTAAAAAGACTCACATTGGGAAAAAACAATTGAATTAAAAATCAATTTGTTTTATTTAGGATGTTCTCTAAAAAGTGAGTGAAAGAAATCAGATGCAAGAAATCACCCCTAAGCATCGCACAAGTCTTAGAATCCGTGGCAGCACCCCCTAGTCATAATCCATGTTATTTAAATGGAAGCGATACAGTGTTTAATTTCTTGCATGTGTCATTCACGACTTCATTGCCAGCGTTTGACCCCAACACAAACCTGCTTAGCACATTAGCTGCTGTCCATCCAGTGGGCCAACTTGAAGAAAACATCTTCAGAGAGCAACTGAATTTGCCTCCCCTGGTGGCATAGCAACGTGACATGACACCCAAACGAGCAGGGCCCCGCACACTGCCGGTTGCTGTGCAAGACCACCAGTATGCATGTAGATGCACAAGGTTTCAAGTCATCTCTGCAGCACGCGGCCAGGAAGAGCAGTACCAGGTGCAGAGTTGGTCAGAAGGACCACCTGCTGCTCTCTCATCATGCCTGGTGCAGCGAACATGGAAGATTCCATGAAAAGAGTAACCCAGCACACAAATGGGTACAGGAATTAAGAAATTAGTGATGTGGGTTAATAATTAGAAGCACGATTAGAGGGGATCTAAAATGCCACATAGTAGGCAGGTATTAATCTTGCAGTGATCATGGAAAGTGATTCAATATGGTGTATGTCCCACTAGCTGCATAAAGCAGGGGTATGAAACATCCAGTCTAGTTTCTTAGTTTTCAGGTTCATCGGGTCCCTGAGATGGCGTGAACTGAATCAGAACTTTCCATCTGATGAGCTCCTCTTACGTTTCCTTCCATTTGTGTGTCTAATAGTCTCCGCAGTGTTAATACGCAGAAGCATAAGAATAAGGCAAGTACAATGGGCTTCGTGCATTGTTCATACTTAAGAGTCTTAGCTTGCGGAGAGCATTAGGCACAAAGATGGATGGAAATGCAAACGGTGCCCATCAGAAGGGAGGTCCTGATTCCTAACACCACTCACTTATAACGAGACAAGGCCAGAGGTCAGCACCACTTTACACTCAAACCCCACCTTGCCTCACCACTCTCTTGGTTCTTCGCTAGCGGGTATCTTTCCTGGTTCCTTCCCTGACCTCATCACAGCAAGAACCCCCTCCCCTGCACTGTACCCACCCCAAAGCCCTGTCTGCATTAGTCTTGCAGCTCTCCTTGGGATTCCTGGAGGTTTCCTGGTCCCGTAGGAGATAGGCAGCCGAGCGCACTCACCGAACAGTCTTTTCGCTGAGTCTGGATGCAGCCCGAGTTGTCGTTTTGGACGCAGCAGCCCGAGTTACGCTCCTGGTCCCTCTCTTTTTGAATGCGCTTCTCAACCTGCTGGTCCTTGCGGATGCAAGGGGAGAACTTGGCTCCCAGGTGGATCAGGTCGATCTGAAACGCAATACAATTTGATACAAGCCATTTTTTGTGCCATTAAAGTGCTGTGTGTTATGCAGGAGCGGTGGTTTAAAGGCAAACTGGGGTACACTACACCTTTGGGGCAGAGGAGCTGGGATTTCTGTGAGTAGCCAGTGTCAGGGGCTGGATATCCCAGGGGAGTGCTTCCCAGGGACTCGGGTGCACCTGCTGTTATCCTGCAAGGCAGATGGGGCTGGGATAGCCTCGAGGAGAGCACTCGAGTGGCTGAAAGTCTGGTGGGGTGAGGAGCTAACACCCAGGCAAGACTAGGGGGTAACAAGGTGGCTCTCAGTCCAGGGTACCCCAAGAACTGTCACACTCTATAGCACTCAGTGGGCTGAGCCACATCACAACAAGTTACCAGCAACACAGATGGGAGTTGAGAGAGAACCCAGAGATGGAACAGCACGGGGCTGCAATAGGTCAGGCCTGACCTGCTAGATAAAACGGTGTGCAAGGGACGTTTGGACAGCAGCTGTCAGAACCTCGCTTCTCCTTTCCTCTGCACCGAAGTGTAAATTCCTCTGTCTCCTGTGGGGACAAGGAGGAGAGGGAAAAAACAACCTAGACATGTCCCTTACCGAGCCCGGGCCAATCCAGAAGTTCTCCTGCTGGATGTACTTCACACTCTCATACACACCTTTGTTCCTCAGCACCTGCCAAGTGGGCACAACATTTAAAAGTCACACCGTGTAATTCACAGCAAAAAGCACCCAAGGTTTAACAAGATGGATTTTTTCAATTGCCAGCCCTGCAAACTCAGCCTGGGATCCAAGAGTCAGGTTGGCTTCTCTTTGGCTCATAGAACAGTGAAGGAACTTAACGACACATGAGCTTTCATTGTGTTGCCCAGGTGTAATTTAGAGAATAACTTGGCCTGCAAGGGAAGACCAGCTTCATTTCAAGTCTTTCTACTTGTGCAGCCTCACCTCATGATCATTATTAGATTTTAGCCTCTCAGCACCCCTCTGAGGTAGGGCAGTGCTACCTCATTTTACAGAAGGAGAAACAGACGATCAGGTAACTTGCCCAAGGTCACACAGGAAGACAGTGGCAGGGCTGGGAATTTGACTCATGTCTCCCAAGTCCCAGTCCAGTGCTTTATCCACTGGCCCATCCTTGCTACCGAGATCCCAGGCTGGATTTCAGGGCGATCAGGGAGGGGGAAAGACGTTCCTGTTGCTCACAAACTGAGCACGTTTGATACGGAGTCACAAAGACGCTAAACATGGTAACCCATCACTCCCAAGGCCATTTAAAACCAAAAGAAATCCAAGTCTGTCTGAACATGTGCTACCACCCACTGAACAAGGGGCTGCTTTTTCCAGACTGCGAGGTTAAGAGGAGAAAATAGATTACAGGAAAGAATAAGTGTTGGCCATCTTCCCAGGAAACTTAATTCCTGCCTTCCTTTCAGTGCCTGGGTACCTAGGAGAGAAAGGAGCCACCTGGCTAACTGTACGCAGAGAGAGATGCTGGAGAATTAAGCCTGCATGGGATAATCCCCATTTTGCTGGCATTCAGCAGAGCTGGGGCAACAGACTTGCTTTAAATCAGCTACTGGAGTCCTGGTATTGGAGACAGGATTCCCCAGAGAGACAGGCAGTGCCAGAGGTGTCATTAGCCCAAGGGACCCGATAGGCTAGACAGCACCAAGACCCCAAAATGGGCACAGCCAGTATCGATGAAACTTACTAACTCCGCCGTCACGTGCTGGGCAAACCCGATTGGCGCGATGCCATACGTGCAGATAACCAGCAGGGTGATGATGATATGGACGAAGGTGAGCCAATAGGTGAAATACGGCCTGGGGAGGGGAAGGGAAACACAAACAAGGGTCGCTCGTCACAGACTGAGCAGCTCCGTCCCTGCCAACCTTCACTCACATTAAACCAGCAGGCTGGAGATGCCCACATCCGACACAGCGGGGACATGGCAGGGCAGATGTAGAAGGGGATCAGGACGGGGATACGCAGGTTGGGTTCGGAGGCGCATTGGCCGAGCTGCTGTTGGGATTGCCTTAGTTAGCATTTCACAACCCCAGTGCAAGGCATATTTTACATCCATGACCACTAAAATGGAAGTCAAGTCATCAGAGCCCTTTCCCTGACCACCCCCCTCTCCAATGCAGCTCCTCGTCTGGGAGGATATCTGCTGAGATGAGGGGCCCACAAAGGCACTGGAACTTAAGCGAATAGAGCTCCCCTGCTGTGTATGTTTGGAACCACTGAGCGTGGGCCCCGATCCTGATCTCGCTCCCCTGGCGTCAATCAGGAGCCAGCCAACATCAAGAACCAGGCCCAGCGTTTACATACGGGGCAGCACTAGGATCCAGTATCAGCCCGGCCCATTATAACCGCATCCCCCCCATCCAGCCGGAGCTCGGCCCTCACCTGTGACTGTCTGTGTTCTCCAACTGAGACTGGACTACGCTGCTGATGCTCCGGCGGTACGTCCTGTTCAGCCACTTGCCCACCACCCCCAGCCCGTAGTATCGCTTCTTGCGGTCAAAGGCGAAGTGCTTCACTTTGGAAGCGATCCGCTTGCCTCTCTTGGGACCGGGGACTGCCGACACCGAGACCCCGACACCTTCCTTCCTGCAGCGAGAAGCATTTCATTCAATTCCCTTCAAAGAGGTGGAGTTAAATGCTTTACTCCCTTTCATGCAAGGCCTCATCACAGCATGGCCAGTGGTGCCAGAAGTGAAAGGAGTTGCCAGGGAAAGGGATGGGGCCAAGTCCCTGCTGGATATCTAGCCCAGCTCCCCACCCCAGCACCATTCAGTGCAATGGGCCAGCTCAGAAGCTACCTAGGAACAGAATATCCAGGACAGCACATGTCCAGTCTAAGGGGCACCGGGCAAATCTCTGCGGCACAGCCCCGAACCCGAACCAGAACTGATACTCACAGAACAGGTTGCTCCACCTCAGAGGATCGGGCGCCGTCCAGGGGAGGAAGCCCTTGGAAGTAAGCGGCTGAGAGGGGTGGCGATTCGAACACTTCATCCGGCATGGAATACATCTCCTCGTGCGCATCTATCTGTGAGGGACACAGCAGAGACACACGGGTGATGGCCTAGCTCAGACAGAGAAGTGATCCAGATGGTGCTCCAACCAGACTTGCTCCTGGCTTAGACCTGGCTTTAGGACAGGGCCTTGTGGGATGATGGGGGATGATCAACCATTAATTCTATGGAGAGATTTATGCTTAGCGCAGCATCGTGGTATCTGATCCTTGATTCACCAAGCACTAACAGGGTCTTACAAATCGGGCAAGGAAAAGCCGTGGTTCCTGTCCCAAGAACTTACAGCAGATCTGGGTTCTGCAGCGCTGGAGACGCTCTATTACAATCATTTTTATTACAGTTGTGTCTAAGGACCAGCGGAGATTGAAGCTCCTTTGTGCTAGGTGCTGTACAAACAGTCCCAGCCTCGCACACCTTACAATCTAAATCAGACCGAAGGCCTGGGCCACGCTTAAAGCTTAAGCTGACTTTGCTACACCATTCAGGGGTATGAAAGTCTAGATCCCTGAGCGCCATAACTGTGCTGACCTAGCCCGTGGTGCAGATGTGGCTAGGTTGCTGGAGGGATTCTCTGGGCTGTGTCTACATGACAAGGCTGAGCCAGCATAGCTACCGCGCCAGAGCTACGCTGCTCTAGTCCCCGCAGCGTAGATGTGGCTGAGTGTTGCTACTGTGGGATGGGACGTACGTAGGGAGAAACCAGTGACCATAATTAAGGTGTATTTCCCCCTTTGCTTGCGAATAGAGACTGTAGCCTCTGGGCGTGTTGGGCGATAGAAGGCAAGGTCAGTGTCCCAAGCAGTAAAAGCTCTCTGGGGCACGGGACCTGTAAGGTAATAGCCTGGGATGCCATGCACCAGTGTCAGAAAGATTTAAAATAAAAGGGGGGAAGAGAGGGGAAATTTACACTGGGTGTAAATCAAAATCTCACAGCTAGGGAAGTGAAGCCCCAGTTTCCATCAACGTGCACAGACTGGAGTCTCAGCAGAGCCAGTCCGGGGTCTCACATCACCAGCCCCAGGGGGTCCAAGACCTGGTGACTCGGCCTCAAGGAAAAGCCGCAGGGGAGAGGGGGTGAAGCTAGGAGATCATGGAACCATGCTTGCCTTACTGAAGAATGAGGAGTCCAGCGTATCTGCAGCATCCACCATGTCCTCATCCAGGATGCTGGGATACAGGAAGCTCCGCTTGTTGCCTCTCTGTTTCGATGCCGAGGGCTCCAAAACTGAACGTCCCTTTCATGGAGGAAAAGGCAAAACACTGGGTGATGAAATGCACTAGTAAAGCTGTACCTTGCCAAACTATAGCAGGGGACCAGGAGGCAGTTTTGGGGCTGAAGGCCAAGCGGATTAACCTGATGGCCGGGAATCTGCACACAGATTTCCCAAAGAAGGAAGCCGTCAGCTTTTCAGATCTCTGTTGGGGAGGTTTGCAGAGTGTTGCATGCACCTCCGCCAGCACCCAGCAGTACATAAGCAATGATGGTTCCATAACATGCCTCAGAATCCCAATTATGCACCAGCCACACAAACACCTTCATCGTTGGATCAGAGATTAGAACACGCAGTAAAAAGGCAAGTGCAGCCATCACACTCCAGCATCGAGCTAAACACAACAAATGTGTGTCCTGCCCACACTAGAACTCTCAGTCACAGAGTCAGAAAAATGTGGGGCTGGAATGGACCTCCAGGGTCACCAGGTCCAGCCACCTGTGCTGAAGCAGCACCAAGCAAACTGAGACCATCCCTGAACAGTGTTTGTCCAACCTGTTCTTGAAAACCTCCAGTGATGGGGATTTCACAACCTCCCTTGGAAGCCTGTTCCAGAGCTTAACTGCCTTGCTGCATATTAATGTACATGAACATGTTAAAAAACATAGCTCAAAATGCCAGTGTCGCCAAACTCGATGGTTAGAGCTGATCAAAACTGGCCTTTCCATCCTGCAGAAAATTTAGAGAGATTCTGAAATCTGGTTTTATCCGAAATCGGGCCCAAAAGTCAAAATCTCCAAATTTGTCTAAACATTTTGGCCTTCTCAAAATGTAACATTCTCCTTCATGGCCCCATGAAAATGTCAGTGAAAACACCACATTCCAGTAAAGTGTTGTGATTTTGTCAAATCAGCATGGTCTGATGGAAAACTCTTTTGTCAGAAAATTTTCAACCACCTCTGTCTACAAGGTGAGCCACATCTGGCTCATATTGCCTGTGAAACCAGGTTATTCTCTAGTACAGAGCAGGTCTGCTAATGGGCCCCAGCAGAAACTCACCCATGACTAGGTTTTTATGCAATGAAATCAGAAAAATCTTCACATGTTAAGGGTTGCCATTCAACGCTGATTTGCTTAAAACAGTTCATTGTTCACTCAAACCATTTAACTTCTTAATTAAAATTCCACTTAAAATAAAGCACTGCAATATGTCGATTGACATTGCGTATGTTGTCCAAACAAAACATTTTGCAAAAGTATCAAAACAAAAATTTTGGGGTCTGCAAAATGTCCCAGAATGCAATGGCAAATGGTCTTGCATTAAGTGTCGTGGGGGAAAAAATGACTGCATTTGCAGAGCCCTGGGAGAACCTGAGTAAGGGCTCCAGTTCAGATCTTGAGAACACACAAGGGACAGGACATAAGGGTGCTCTGGACGAGTCTCTGAGGAAGGTTCACTAGGCAGCAGCTCAGCTGGGAACGCATTCACAAGCAGAACTCACTCTGAGGATAGCCGCAGCTGCCCTGAAGCTCATGTGGGCGACAGACTCCCGCTTCCTACGGGGCAAACGGGTGTAGCCCGACCGCACGCTGGTGAAGGAGGTCAGGGAGAGGACTCCAGGCGTCTGGGGTGGTAGAACAGGGTGAGGGGTCCGAGGACGATCGACTTCATCCGGATGCCGGAATGGACGGCCTCTGGCCAAAGGGTCTACGATCTTAGAGTCACATGGACAGAGAGGCAGAAGTTAGTGAACTAGGTTCGGTTTTCAGCTCCGTGTGCACATGAATGTAAGAGAGAAAAGGGAGACACAAAGATACGCATTATGCAAGTGAACCCTGTTGTGAGTGGGTTTTCTGCCAGGACTGAACCCTAGGGTTACCATACGTCCGTTTTTTCCCAGACATGTCCAGCTTTTT